TTCTTTTTTTCTCGCTATCTTTTGTTTTGATCTTGTTGTGGTCGTTTTGCTATATTGATCGACTGACAAGAAACAAAAAACATCAACAAAAAGTCTTTTCTCCGCACGGCCCCAAGGACATCGTCGGCCAGGAGCTGAGCGGCGACTACTACGAAAAGGCGGCGCCCGTGATCGAGGTGCAGGTGGCCAGGGCCGGCTACAGGCTGGCCCGGTGGTTGGACCTCATGGTCGAGAGCCTGCACCACTCGGGCGATATTGGCGAGCTATAAGTGAACCCGCCCAGGGCCCTGGGATGGCAAATTCGTCCATGTGTTCTTTCTCACCGTGGCGGACATGGGAACGAACGGCGGGGGGCCGGTCAGACTACCTACCAGGAAGAGCAACTTTGCGCAAATACGTTTATTTCTTTTCCTCTTCTTTCCCCGATCGGGATTCCCTCCCCGGTACTTTTTCGCCTCATCCCCCTCCCAGCTCGCCTTTCCTTTCCCTGCCAACGGGGCCAGCTGCAACCTCCCAACTGGCTGGGAGGTGGGAACGAAACCTCCCAACTGACTAGGAGTGGGGAACGAGGTTCATGAGTCGAGCAGCCGGCCAGTGGGCGATTTCCGGGGGCGCGGATGATGCCTAAAACCGAGTCGGGGAACCGTTGGAGCATGGACGTTGATGGGGATGGCGGGATGGACGGGTGTGGCTTCTTTTTTCTCCAGCCCCGTGCTCACCTTCGTCCTCCATTTGGCGCAGCATTATTTGGCCACTTATGCAAACACATTGTCTCGACCCGGATCTCGTACGCTGGGCACGGTACTCGGACAGCCATGATCTCCCTGCCGCAAATCTTGTCTTTGATCATGATCACTGCCAATGTTGTCCTTCATTTGTGTTTTTTTGACCGCGGCACAGTGCAGTGTAGATCCGGCAGCATGACCGCGCCAGGTAATCCCGTTTACCACGCCATGCCGGTCCGGCTAGTCCAGCCACGCCAGCAAAACAAAACCTCCCCCGACGACACGACCCGAATCAAGGTACGAGCAAAAGACCTGACGGGATCACCAAAGGGGGAGGCGCCTGCGGTTGGGCGCCGTGCTGGCTTTGAATCACATCCAAGTTTGATGGCCGGGCCCGGAGGCTGCGGTGCTCGCCCGACAGATTTAGCCTGATACGCAGATCGGGCGGGTCGAGCATCAGATGGGCCCCCGGGAAGGCAAACCTCACCTCGGGCGGCAGGCGACGGCGGTGGGAAGCGCATCTGCCGTCCAACTACACTGACAATGGGTGGTTATCGTCGTACTGTGTAAACAGGCACAACCTACCAGGCATAACCTACCCAATGGCCTCCCATATCGAGACCCCGGCCGCGATTGCAAGCTCCGTGTGTAACCTGATGTGATTATAGTTTCTACCTATCTCTGCGCTCTGCAAACACTGCCTTGGCGGAAAAGTGGAAAACCCCCTCCCCTGGCCATGGCTGGTCTGGCCAAGCCGTTTCGCCGCCGTGGGAGGAAGGTTAACGAAGGGCCGAGAAGGGGTGGTGTTTGGCGGTTGGGGCAAGGAACGTTATTGAAAATGTAACCAACGCTCGTGTCAATATCGCTTTTCCATCCATCCCTTTGCAGAGAGCCGTGCGCCTTGCCCTCGTCGAGTCCGAGCGATCAAGCATGAAAAGAGAAGGAAGGCAATCCAAGTCCCCCTTGACGCTGGGCAAGACAAAATCCTTACACCGCATCCTATTCCGGGCGAGGGCAATATCGGCAACGGGAAAGCGACCACACTCAATCTGCGGGCAAACCCACACGGACACGGGATTTTCCATGCGCGCAAAAAAGCTCGAGCGAACCAGGGTTGGCAGGCACCTTGGGCTCAGCACCTTTTTTCTTTCTTTTTTTCTTTTTTTCTTTTCTCGCCTCCTCCTTAAGACCACGGCACGTGCACGGTTTCACATACTTTTTACACATTCCTCGAAGGAAGGGGAGACCCAGGCGGCCGACAGGGTGCCAAAATGCTAAAGCAAAAGTTAAAAAGCTTATCGCTATAGGGGCCCCATCGGCTGCGGGTCCGTAATGTGGGCGCTGGGCCAAAAGTCGTACGACTTTGCTCCCCGGGACTTGCCCTCTCTGCCCTCTCACCCCCCTTGCCGTGCCTTCCGGTCCGTGATGGCCAGGGTCTCGTTTCTTTTCGGTGTTTCTACTTTTCCTGGGCAGCAGGGCAGAGATTTTTGTCCACACGCCCATACCCCCCCCCCCCCCCCCCCTGGCCTCGCTTGCAAAGGCAGTTTTCTTTTTTCCTCCCTTTTTTTCTGGTAGGCGATGGAAAAGTTTGGATGGCACTTTGGAACCCCGCCCAGTTCGTCCAGTGTTTTCCTCGCCAAAGCCTAAAACAAAACGGCTTCGATTTTCGAGGCAACAGGCATTTCATATTTCTCCCACACGAGAGAGTCCTGGATGATTCCCCATCGTCCTGCCTTTACCAACCGGGCTAGTTGGCGGCACAACGCCGGCCCAACGTAGGTAGCGTAATGCGTGTGCGCGCGCGACTGCGCTTTCCCGGGGAGCGCCCTTGCGGCTCTGGGCCGTATCAGCCATGTTGCGACATGTGCTGATGGCTGATCGGCCAACGAACGAACCGGGCACCAAACCGTCTCGTAAGCCCGATGTCACTTATCGGCAACGGTGGCGTCCTGCCAAACGGTCCTTGGCATCTAGGTTAGCATCTGGGTTGGCATCTGGATTGGAATGTGTGTGTGGACTGGGAGTTGTTCCTTTTCTTCCCTTCTTGTTTTCTCCATCCCGACGTCCTGTTGTGGTGGTCTTGATGGATGGATGGATGGGCGGAGGAGGGCCCTGCAGTCAGGACGCACAATTCCTGTCAGCCTTAGCTTCGGCTACGGCCAGCATGATGCCTAGTTGCTGAGGCCGCAGCCGTAACGAGGCAGCCCACCTCGCTGTCGTCATTGTTAAGCACAACACTACAAGATGCACTCTGTGACTAACAGCTTTGCTCCCTGCGGTGCTGACTAGACGACGATCCCTTGTTTCGTGAAATAAAAGGAGTGGTCGGCACAAGTTGGCATTGTGGAGCTCGAGGAGGGGGAGGTTAGACTTTTCCCACTGCCTCTTGCACCGGTGGGGTGGGATGCAGGCTGGGGCTCATCTACCTGGGCATCGTCTCCATGTCTCAAGCTGGAGCCTCAAACACGACTTCCCAGCAGGAAGGATTGAGCGAGTTGCAAGGGGCGGGCAACCCTACCGAACACTATTTCGACACACACTTCACCAAAAGTAAACTTCACCAAAAAAAAAAGTCTGGTATCAGCCGCTCCGCTTGCGCGCGTGGCAACCAGCCCAGCCACGATGCGCGTTATCTTGCAGCAAGCGTCTTTTAATTATTTCGGAGAGATTCCATGTCGCGAAACCGTTTTTTGCTTGGGCTGGGAACCAGCACGGTCCAGCAGGGCGGAGCGGGCTGTGTGTTGTCAACGGAAATAACCAGTGGGCATTTGGAGATTCACCTAGGCGCTTGCGACCTCCCGCTGCCATCCTCCCGCAGCTGCATTTTCCAGAAAAGCCTCTCCCATGTAGCAGGTTGCCACGTGCTACCCCGATTTGCGCATTCCTATGGTCTGCGGCAACACAAGTAAACCATTGACCTAGTTTAGGCCTTTTTTGCGTAAAAGTCAATACGCGCGAGAGGACCAAATGGGTATTCTAGACGCAGTCCCATTTCCAGACATCACCTATCATGAACACACCCGCCCCAGCGCGCGGGGGTTGCAATCGCTAACAATAAGCTCATCCAGCCGGTGCCTGTTCTGGCCCACCAGGCAAGCGTTGTGGTGGCAATGGCTAAAGCGTAGGGTCGCCGCCAGAACGGATGGCCGGCGCCGCGTATTTGATACGAGATTAAATGTTTAAATCTCGCGCTCGCGGCAGGGGGCCGGGGTCTTGCGTGTCGACTGCCAGGACCAGGGACCGTTGCGGAATTTGAAATGCTGCCAATGCTCGGCTGGTACCTAGCCAACTGATCCGCGAAACAACCTTTTTCCATCCATCTGAACCTGATGGCTCCCGCCCAAGTACCGGTTCTCGCGCCCTGGCGAGCGCCTGGATGGAGCACGCCGGCGCCTGTGCTTGGGTGGGAACGTCATCAAGAACAAACCGCGGCGACCAGGCCAGAACCTCCTGCTCTTGACGGCGGAGACGTCGCGCCTATATTGCAAGTTTTGTCTGTACGACAACAGCCAAGCCATGCAAGCCTCCCGCGCTGGCTGATCTGCCCTGCCACAGCAATCATGAGGGCGCATCACTTGTCAATCGTGAGAGCCCGTTTCTGGGCCGCCGTGCCTCTTGTCCAGTTTCGGGTGCCCAGTTGATTGCCTTGATTCCTACGACCTGCGCAAGGGGCCGAGGGGCGAAGCCCTCTGTTCGGTGCGTGGAAACGCGAGCCTGGTCGCATCAAGAGGATTGAGGGTAGATAAGGCTTGGACGCGACTTTAATTTTGGCGCGGGCGCGTGCTGGCAATAGAAACCCACCGTCTATTCGCTGTCGATGGCTGCTTTTCCATGTTACAGGGCCTGCGTGGGCCTTTGTCCCACCCCCCCCCCCAAACTGGGAGCGCGCGCGAACAGCTCCAGCACGGGCGCCGCGCTTAAACCCGTCTCGTTGTGCTTCATCAGCGGCCGGGATGATGGGGTTCGAAACATGGTCGCTTGGAGGCCCGCACTGCCATTGGCTAACAATTAGGGTGGTGGGGCAGTTACAGGGCACCGAACAGGGGCTCGAGCAAGGGTTCGGTCAAAATCTCTGACGTGGGAAGCCGCATCAACGACAGAGAAGAAAAAGACAAAAAGAAGAAGGAAAGCGGCCTGAGGCAGCTAACCAGAGAAGCAGCAACCCAACCAGCCCGCTACTGCACCCTACTGCACCCTACTGCACCCTTCCCGACTGGAGCCCACCCACAGCAGCTGGGATAGCGGGAGCAACATCAGACCCCTTCGCTCCCCCACAACGGATTCCAAAGGGCAAGCGAGCAGTACCATTGAGGGAACAACCTGAAAGTTGGACCGCTGGGGAAGCTCGGGTATCTCGGGCTGGGCTTGTAACGGCAACAACGGCACCAAACCGTGGTAGCGGCTGTAGCCACGCACAGCATACAGTATGCACCGCGGCCAGCAGCACCACCAGGAGCACCAGAGCTGGTCCAGGCCACTCTGCTTGCTGATCGGCAGGCACACAACCGTTTGGGACGCCTGGAGCTGGAACGCCATGTGCTGGATTCCCGCGTCTGCTTTGCCCCGAGCAGCTCGCAAAATGCCCATCGGAAGCCAGCCCTCAGTCAGCGCGATGCCAATCCCCGGGTTTGACACTTGGGTTTCCTCTCACGCACCCCCAGAGGCCACCTCGCACGCCCCCCCACTCCCACGCAGCCCGTATGCCCACCCCTCCCTCACTAGCGGCACCACCCATCCGGCGCTCGGTCTAAGTTGGCTCCCATCGTCATCCCTCTCCCTCCCCTTGGTGCCGCATGTTTTGGGATCGTGGGGACCCACGACGCAGCTGCGTCTCCGAGCTGGAAATCCGTCCGGTGTTTGAGCACCGCTCACCCCCTCCCCTGCCGGCCAAGGGCCCCCCCATGGCGAGGACAGACCCAATGGCTCCCACTTGGGTTGATGCAAGCAGTCCCGGTCGCCGAAAGCTTGGCGAAATGGGGGTGGCTCGAAACGCCCCGTCGCGATATAAAGAACTTTGTCTTGGCCTCTCCATAGCTATTTGACCCGTCCGTCCCTACTTTGCTGGCCTTGTCCTATTTCTTCTCGTTCTCACCATTCTTTTCCACTCCCCTTTACTTCTTCCTCGTTGGCCGGTCCGGTTTGACGTTTTCCATTCATTCATTCCTTATTGGGACGATCAAAGATACCCCTTTACTCCAACCCATTACTAGTATTAAACACAGCTTGCTGTGAACGCTCCTTTTTACACGGTCTGGCACCAGCTTCAACTTTGTGGTTTTTTTCTTCTTCTTGAAAGTTGTCCCAATCCCCGTCCTACTCACCCGACCTCGACAATCGCCGTAAACCCGAAAGTCTACGATTAATACAGAGCCGAGTTCACACCCATCACCAAGATGTTGATGAAGTCCGCGCTGATGGGCCTTGTTGGCCTGGCTGTCATGACCGAGGCTAGCGTCGTGCCGTTCATGCCACCCTCTGGGGCGCTGATGGCCAGGCAGAACCGGGGCGGTGGAAACAACAACAACAACAACAATGGAGGCAACAACAACAACAACAACGGCGGAAACAACAACAACGGTGGTGGCCAGGGCGCCAACTGCTTGAACCAAAATGCCATCCAAGCTGCTAGCGCTGCGACGGGTCAGAACGGTCAGGTTGAGGAGGGCCAGGTCGAGTCTGCCACGTAAGTGGACCCTTGATATGTGTCCTAGCCAAGGAGAGAGCAGGGAATGCTAACAATCATGTTCAGGGACGCCAACAACTTCATCAACTTCTGCTCTGGCAAGACCATCACCAACGGCGAGCAGAACCGGGCCGGCTCCTGCAACGGTATCCGTAAGTTTTGATACCTCCCTCGATCACACCTGCCGAGGGCGAGTACGACTAACACGCCGCACAGCCATGGGCGAGGTCCCCGCTGTCGGACGCATGGTGTCAACCGTCATCCTTAACCCCAAGAATGGTGACACCCTGCCGGCCAACCAGAACTTCAACATCCAGGTTCGGATTGCCAACATGCAGCTGGGTTCCTTCACCAACGCCCAGGCCACCTACTACTCTGCTCCCCAGGCGCTGCAGAACGGACAGATCGTCGGCCACACCCACGTGACGGTCCAGGATCTCGGTGGCAACCTCAACCCCACGCAGCCGCTCAACGCCCAGCAGTTCGTCTTCTTCAAGGGCATCAACGACAACGGCAACGGCCAGGGAACTCTCGAGACCCCTGTTACCGGCGGCCTCCCCAACGGCAACTACCGCCTCTGCACCATGGCTGGTGCGTCCAACCACCAGCCCGTTCTGATGCCCGTCGCCCAGCGCGGTGCCCAGGATGACTGCATCCGCTTCACTGTGGGCGGCGGTGGTGGTAACAACAACAACAACAACGGCCAGAACAATAACAACGGCCAGAACAACAACGGTCAGAACAACAACAACGGTCAGAACAACAACGGTGCGCAGAACAACAACAACGGTCAGAACAACGGAGGCAGACGCAACAACGGCCGCGCCGCCCAATCAGGCGGCGCCAACGCCCAGGCCATTGGTGGTGCTGCTCCCGCCATCGGGAACAGCGGTGACGCAGCCCGGCCTTTCAGCGTCAACGGCGCCACCTTCACGGACCGCGCCGAGGCCCAGAAGCGCGCCTGTGCCATCCAGACCAACAACTGCAACGACGCCGTCAACAGGGGCCAGGCTCAGGGCTCAACCCTGCAAGACTGCAGCAACCAGGAGATCGCCTGCAACACCAGCGGTTAACTCACTCGCCTCTTGCCTTCCTGATGCCTCTCCTTTCTTACCACCGCCAGACGTCGAGTCGTGGTTTTCATGTTGCCCTCCACCCCGCAACCGGAGCTCCGCAGCCCGTCACACCCCTCTTCTATTCTCGCCGAAAAGGGGGTGGGCCAGTGAACGAGGCAAGCGACGATTGGACAAGAAGGAAACTTGTCCTGGCAACTTGGAAGAAATGTTGGCTTCGGACTTCATTCCGGGGGCGGCCGAATACCCTCTTTTGACACCTTTTGTCAGGAGTGCCGTCCCCGGCCTACAATCCACCTCCCCGGGAAAAGCTCCTTGACGCCAGTGTCTATTTTTCTCTTTTCTGCTTATCCTTGCCCCTGTGCATTCGCTTTGTAAAGCCGGCGTTCAGACCTGTCAGCATTCCTTCCATGATTGTTTCCGACCTTTCTTTCTTCTTCCATCACCCGGTGTGGGGTGTCAGGACTTTTCCCTCTTCGGTTGGGTGCTTGTGTGTGTTTGCGCGTCTGCTTTGTCAACCTCCTTCTGCCGCAAAACCAAGAGAGAAAAAATCACAACCACTTCTATATACCATGTCCCCATCCTATCATTGTGGCTGTTGTTTCGTTTTTTTTATTGACTGCTTAATGGGCAAGTTTAAACTTGTTGTGATCACTCGCTATCTATCGTTGGAAGGAAATCGCTTTTTTTTTTTCTTTTTCTGTTGCTCAAGGCGAGGAGGTGGAGGGCGCAGCATGGAAACAGTCTGGCGGTACCACCTGTTCCTTTTCCTAGTTGTATTATGTGGTGTGATTACCTATCCAGTAGACGAAAAGGACGGACCAAAGAAATACCATTTTTATTTTTTTTCCATCCAGGCTACTTTCGCCTTGGCCACACACAGCACCTCCCAGCATCGACATCTTCGCCCGCTACTGTCGCCAAGGTGGGTGGTGTACTAACTGGCCCCTCTTGCGTCCAGCTCGCAGTTTGAACTGCCGCTCAGGGGAGAATTTGCATCCTTGACTCAAGGTGTACCTAATAGCTGCTGACCTAGCAGCCCGACACAATGCGCGCGCGCATGCCGATTTTTTTTCTCAGCTGGAGGGGTGCAGCTACGCCGGCGATGGCTCCCGTAGAAGGGCGGGAGTGCAACCACCCTCGGCCTCGTGCTTAAGCCAAAACCTGTCAAGCGGCCGGGCCGCTGGACCAATGCCCACCATGTCTCAGGTACTCAACCCCCTTCTTGGCTTTTTTTCTTTTCTTTTTCTCTTTTCTCGCTTCTC